GAGATTATTCTCCGCAACCACCAGTAGCTTTGGGCTCTCGAAGGTGTGGCGCGGAGTTGCCGAAGTTGTGGCGCGGAGTTGCCGATGGTAAGCGGGTTGCCGATGGCAAGCCGCATGAACCTGTGGAATGTAAGTTTGGCCATGGTGGGTTTACCAGAGATGGGTGCTGGTAAAAAAGGTCCGAAACCAAACTTGGAGGATGAACAAAATGGTGGCCAAGTTCCATACCCTTGAAGCAAGCGCACAGCGCCGCATACACGGCGTGTAAGCGCCTTGCGTTCCTTTTGCTGGTTGAGCCACATTCAAAGTTTGAGTAGATGAAGGTTAGCAAGGATTGTTCAAACGCGAAATGGGTGCGCCTTTTTATTATTTAGGGCAGACCAGTTAAATTCCAGGTTTCGCGTGAATGTTCAGAGTTTGGCAGGCTTTGCGGTGAACATCTTCAGAGTTACTTCGAATTTGCCATTTGAGGGTTTAAGCTTGAGCCAAACTGGCAGAGATTCTTTTTGCGAGATACGGAGGGTGACTCGGTAATGTTCGTGACGCCAACTAGCCATGCAGTCCCACATTGTGGTCAAGAAAAGGCAATAGGCATTGGACCAATCTATGTGCAGTCCCCAGCATGTTATGTGCAGTGTGGCGGGCGCGCTTATCATTTGGCCAGCTTGGTTGCAGTGCCCAGCGTGCGCAGTGCGGCGGGAGCGCATATCATGTGGCCAGCTCGTGCGCAGCATGCTCAGCGTGGTGGGTGTGCGTATCATTTGGCCAGCTTGCTTGCAGTCCCCAGCGCGCGCACGTGCGCAGTGCGGCGGGCGTGCTTATCATTTGATTTGGTGAGCTTTGGTGCCTCCCAGCGGGTGTGCTTATCATTTGCAGATCTCAGCGTGTGCAGCGTGGCGGGTGTGCTTACCTGGCCAGTTTGTGTGCAGCCCCCAGCATGCGCAGCGTGGTGATTTGTCCAGCGTGCAGCACGTGTGCAGTGCGGCGGGTGTGCTTATCATTTGCCCGGCTGTGTGGCCACTTGGTCAGCGTGCAGCTATGAGAGTGCTCACATGTGTATGGAACAGTCGTGTCGCCCGTACCTTCTTCCATGTTGAAAGTTTGACTAGTGCCCGTATGACCCATTGACGGCCCACGCGACCATACTCCTAAGCACTGCAGTTGCCAGGCAAAATGCGTTTGGGCAAGTATTTCCCAATGTCAAAGCTGCAACTCCTAGTTCCAATGGGCGACCCAAGGACAAGCGCGAGGTCTTCCATGCCGGACACGCAGGCAGAATGAAGCAAAGCAATTTGATTGCGCGGTTGCCACTGTGGACCGCAGCTCTTTGAGGGGAGCGGCCCGGTCTGGCCACGAGACGAACACTGCCGTCGTTGAAGCAGAGAAGAGCGTCAACGAGGCCTCGAAGGCACTTTTTGGAGAATGCGCCTCTTCCTGGCACATAGTGTATACTGGCCCTCGAAATGCTGCAGATGTACGGGCATCTGCTGCCACCATGAAGGCTCGCTTCACACAAGGGGCCAGCAAAAAAGCTGAGGCAGCAACGCCTATGCCTCACACGCCAGCTGGCTCGCAGAAGTCCATTCAACCTGTATGCCCAGAACCTGTCCAAGCTTCGGCAAGTGCTTCGGCAAGTGCCCCAAAGGCAAGAGATCTGCCGCTGGAGCCAACACGGCCAACACTTGACATGGACCCTTTGTCAGTGTATTCTGCTTATGGTAAAAAGCTGCCAAGGCTTGGGCCGGCAACAGGAGGTGAGAGCTTTCTGGGTGTGAGCGCCTGGGATGAGCAGGCTCAGGTTCTGGCGCGCGTGTGCACGTGTTTTTTTAAGCATCAGAGGATGCACCCGGTGTGTGCGCTGCAGCCAACTGCATTGGCATGCCGGGTGAGCGTAGCTTGCCGGAAGGTGAGCCAGTTCAGGGGGGCATTGCTGGTCAATGCTGCTATCCTTTTGATGGTGTGTGATTGGGATGAGATTCCTCTTCATCCATCCGTGCGTGCCTCTTTCCTGTTGGCGCTGAATCTGCACCATCAGGCGAAAGAGGTGCAGGGAGTGATGGCCCTGGTTGTTATGGAGATTGGATCGCCGCGCTGAGGTGGAAAAAGTCTCTGGGGTGCTTTGGGTCTTGTTTTGGTTTCTGGCCTTGATTTCGGTTCGACCCTGAAGCCCCGCGCTTCCCGCCCCGAAGGGCGAGGCAAAATCCTTGGACCAAACTTGGAGCATTCCCAACCATACTTCTCAAAACGATAGAGACGCGTACGTTTTCGGGTAGAGGGCAGTGACTTTTCGATACTTTACAGATCCGACGCAAGGGCGCCGTGGCGATGCTGCGATCATCCCTTTGCCAAACAGTCTTGCGCTGGGCAAGGCTGGGTAGGTGTTGTTTGCTCATGTTCCCACACGCTGTGTTCTGATGTTGGACCCATGGAGGTGCCAGTAGAGAACACAAATTACACTGCATTTTGCCGCAAGGTCACGTGGCATGGTTTGGGACGAGGGCGGGCCCTAGATTTTGATGGCTGTTTTGCAGGGTGTACCGCGACCTGGCCTGTCCTCATGAGATGCTCTGGCATTTTGCAGGGGCAGGGTAGGGCGCTGTGCAGAGAAACGACGCAGGGCGAACAAAACTGCAAGCTGGTAGGTTTGACGCAATCAGTTTACTAACCAAAATTGTTGTTCATACCGACACCTGTTTGAGCCGTGGGCGATGAAGTATCCGGAAAATCCAAGCCTCCAACTTTTGGATTGTCAACGGTAACTTGAGCTTGCTCATTCTGATTTGGGGCGCCCCGACTTGATTGACCACCCCCACCGACTGTTGGCACCTCTGTCTTTCTTTGGTACCTGTTTTTTGGGAATACGTTGACGGGAAACCAAAGGGACATGCCTCATGTTGGAGCCGCCATGTCCAAGCCATTTGGTCCAGACACACTGTAGTTCCAGCTGGTTTGGGGCGCAGTTCTGGCCTTTTTGGGGTTGGTTAGGGGTTCCGCAAGGAAGCTGAAGCCCATGCTGATTACGTATCTATTTTGAGAGGGCCCGCGGGCCCGCCGCAGATTAACGTGGAATAGCAAGCCGTCATTTTTAGAGGATTCTCCTTTCGACGGGATCTTGGTACTGGGCTTCACGTGTTACCACATCGGGTTTCCTTCCTAAAAAACAAAGAGTTCCTTTCAACGGAAAACGGCATTTCATTTGGAGAGAACTCCGTAGTTTCCCGTTCCAGGGCAGCCTTGCGGGCTCTGCCTGGGGCGGCTGCGCCAACTACAGCACCAGCCTTTGAGGCCCTGCTATTTGACCCCTCATCAGTCTTTGGTTGGGCCTGATTAATTTGTTTGGCAAGTTTGAGTGGGGGATCATGGAATGGTTGACTTCGAGTTTCGAGTGTGCGTCTTATGTCTCATCCTTTTTGTGGGCCACATGCTCCTCAGCAACACCCTTCTCGATGCAAAGAGTTGAAGAAGTGTTCGAAGAAAGCTTGCTCTCCCATGTGTCCCAGACACTTATCTTGATCGCCTAGGACTTGGTGCAACCCTTCTTCGCGGCAGAGCCTGGAGCCCTGGAGTTGATCCTTAGTTGTTTCGCACGCTGCTATGCGTCACTGCCACTCAAGAGGATCAAATAAGTGCTCGGACTGTGTCAGAGTTGCCACACACCCGGAACACTTGTAAGAAGCATTTTTCCATTCTGGGACACAGCGTCATATGGAGCCTTTGGATGGGGCCTCTGGGACGAGAGCCCGAGCGGCGCTGACTCTTTGTAAGGGCTTAGCTGCAGAAATGCACATGTCTTGCGCATGACTACTACTGCCGTAGCAGCCCCAGCAAGTTGGCTTTCGAGCGTGCAGGTTGCTTGGATCTAGTTGGCCGGGCTGGTTTAGGCTCGGAAGCTTCAGTTTATTGAGAAGTGCGGTGAAGGGCTCAAGTTTTTTCCGAAGCTGTCTGGAATCCATTTTTGAGTTTTGCAATTTTCAGCCACTGTTACTGGTAACTCTGGGTGTATTTGTTTGGACGTCCAGTGCCATGTTTTCAGCCGAAGATGCGCAGCAGCAAAGAGTTGAAACGCTCAGGTGGCCAGTCTCTTACGTTTCACCAAGAGTTACCAGTAACTTTTTTCGATTCGAGTTATCCTGGTCCTCCAGAATTTCCATCTGTCGCTTGGACCATACTTCTGCATTCCGTTTCCAGGGCGGCCTTGCGGTCCTGGGGCGGCTGCGCCAACTGCAGCGCCAGCCCCTGCGCGCCTTTGAGGCCGTGCACCCTTTTGCGAGCTGGAGTGAGCCTGATTAATCTTTTGGCAAGTTTGAGTGTGGGATCATGGCATCAGCCGGCTGGCTTCGAGTTTCGAGTGTGCGTCTCACGTCTCATCCTTTTGTGGGCCAGTGGCATGCCTCCCCAGCAACACCCTTCTCAATGCAAAGAGTTGAAGAAGTGTTCGAAGAAAGCGCTCCCCCATGTGTCCCAGACACTTCTTCTGATCGCATAGGACTTGGTGCAACCCTTCTTCGCGGCAGAGCCTGGAGCCTGGAGTTGATCCTTAGTTGTTTCGCACGCTGCTATGCGTCACTGCCACTCAAGCAGAGCAGCTGTAGGAATAAAAAAGGGTTCGGAGTGTGTCGGAGTTGCCATAAGCCCTGATCACTTGTTTTGAACGCCAGTGAGCTGAAAGAATCTGTTTTTTCCATTCTGGGACACAGTGTCATACTGCAGTTTGAGCGTCTGGCGCTTTTGGATGGGACGAAAGCCCGAGCGGCGCTGACTCATTGTAAGGGCTTGGCCGAATATGTACATATCTTGCGTCTAGGTCTTGCGGGCGCAGCGTTTACAGCATGACGGTTCCTCTCCGGCCAAGAGACTTGATTGTGTTTTTGTTCCAGCTTAGATCTTGCAGCTTGCTGAGTCCGAGCCGCCCAGCTGGCCTCATCCGCAAGATTTCTTTCGAGAAAGTGGTCTGGCCTCTTGACATGGCGCCAAAAAAGCGAGAGCAGGGTTCGACCCAGGAGGTAATCCCAGCAAAGCGGCCAAAGCCCCAGCCTGCCAAGCAGCCGCCCCACCCTTGGACAGAGCCAGATTCCTCGTGGACGGGTGCTGCTGAAAAGCAGATGAGACAGCTCATCCCGCACTTACACGAGATTTTGCCCATTGTCCTGCGCGAGAGCAAGCTGCCAGAGTACGCAGCCGTCACGGACCTTCTCCAGCTGCCACCGTTAGAGATCAAGGGTGGCAGCGACAAGGGCCAGTCCTCAGCTTTCCGTGAGCGTTGGCGGGAAAGCAACGCTGCCCTTGCAATTCGTTCTTGTGAGATGTATGAAGCTGCTGGGGTGCTGTGGTGGCTTCACACCTTTCCGCAAGAGAACGATGCGCAGACGCAGCACATGCAGTGGGATGACGTGGTGGCTTATTCGGATCGATTGTGCCAGCTGGTGAAGGGCAAGGTGGTGACCACTTCCTTGATCCCGTGCTATGTGTGGGCGCAGGATGCGGACAAGCTGGAGCTCGAGTCCAGCTTTCCATCTGGGCTGAACGTGGTCGGCCCTGCTTTGCTACCTCTGTGGGGCCTTTTGCTTGCACTCATGCGGGAGGTCACACGCGCGCAGGGCAGCCGTGACTTTGGGATGGTCAGACTGCTTCTGGAAGCGGCTCGGTCCTTGCCCTTGAGACTGGCCATTTTGCACTCCAAGGCAGAGTTGGCGCGATTGTCAATCACCTTCTCCCATGACAACAGAATCAACTTGGCCATGTCAGACACGTTCGTCACCTGGCTTCCAAAGTACTGCCTGGCGATGCAGGATTTCACGGGCAAGGTGGGGGAGATACAGACGTACCTGTCCCAGAAGGGCATCAAGTTTGAGGGTAAGGACTTGAATGAGAACGTTGTCAAGGCAGCAAGGCTTCTTGGCCGAATTCTTGCTGCTGTGTGGTTTCCTCTTGAATCCATGTGGTCAGGCTGGGGCAGCAGTACTTGCTGTCTGACAGCGTCCAGGAAGCCATCGCCGAGCTGCAGAGAAAGCACGGTCGAGCAGCTCTAACCGAGCACTACACAAGTCTCCTGCGGTTGATGCTGGCCATGCAGAGTGTGCTGAAGAAGCTTGGCATGGAGCCATCTTCGGAGGCTCTGGCGTGGGTGATAGATTACACTTGCCTGGCCTTGGACCAGAATTGGATCTCTCTTGCTTCTTTGAAGAAGAGTGATTCGTGGGGAGACAGTAAGTCCACCACCACCTTGACATGGGGTCAGGCTACCATCCTCAAGTACGCGGCAGTTCACCACGTGAAGAGCATTATCGACGCTCTGACAGAAGATGTGAATGCCAGAAAGGAGCTGCATGATGCCATGGACTTCTTTGTGTCTGTGCAGTTGTTCGGGAAACGCATGGTGGCATCGTCTGGGCAGTCAGAGGAGAAGGATGACCAGGCTGGCACTGCCATGGACTCTATGTCATCCTTCGCACGCAGTCTGGCCGAGTGGTTGCATGCCTTGCTGGCTTGCGACCTTGAAGAGGAATTTCAGTCTTTGTGGCTTCAAGCCGGAAGCGATGCATTCCAGAAGGCCTTGAAAGACATCACATCTCCGCCGGAGGACAGCGGCGAGTGGGGCAAGTATGTCGCAAAGTTCATGTCGGAAATGGAGCTCATGCATGAGACCGCCACTATGGCTGCCACAGGACTGACCGGGCATGTTCTCGCTAAGCGGTCGTTTCACATTGCCTACCATGGCTCATTGCTTTACAAAGGTTGCGTGGTCGATTCATTTCCAAGAAAAAGAAGCAAAAGCGGAGCGAGCTTCTAAAGCAGCGCCTGTTTCCCCACATTTGCTACCAACGGTCTACAGAAAAGCAGCTGCAATCCAAAATAGCCCAAACCATGAAAATGTCTGGCAGCACTTGCTGCGGCCGGAACAAATGCCGCTAAATTGTTCCCGAAAGCTTGATAAGGCGTCTTTTCGAGATAGAGTAAGGGAGAAAGCAAGCAAAAACAAAAGCTTGCTACGGAGGCACATGTAAAGCGTTCCGATTGACACAAGCACTTCCCTCCTTGTTCAAGTCTTACAGAGGGCGCAAGCTAGTGAGGAAGGTTGTGACGAGCTTCCCAAAACTAGCAACGCAACGATGGCCATGTTTTCAGACTCAGCGAGTTGGCTTGTGGCTTTACGTGTTTTAACGATGGGAAAAGGTGTTGCTGGCATTTTTTGCAAGAGGGCTCCAAGAAGGTTTCACAACCCGGGGGCTAACTTGTGTCGGCCAAACGGCGCAGGCGCTTGCAAGGCCCCGATGCCGAAGCTCAGGGAGCTCATTCGGCTCTCCAGTGATCCGGAGGCTCCTGGTGAAGAGTCCGCCTTGAAGCGAGCCGTGGCCGAGCGCGACAATCTGTGGTCAAGCTGCGTCGCCCACCGTTCGAAGTACGTCCGCTTCTTTGTCGGCAAGGGCAAGACATCGAAGGAGCTGCTGGAGATGATCTCGCTCCTTGCACGCAGGTGTCCGTGTGTGTGTGTGTGTGTGTCAAAGCGGCATTTTTTGTGGATTTTGCTTTATTGGCTTCCATGAGACCAAACAAGGTCTTGTGGCCCGGTCAAAGCCTTTTCCCCCGCCTCTGGCTCCTACGTGGTGGCGCTGTGGGCGGCAGATTTGTCGGGGGAGGGCAAGGAACCATGGTCCAATGTGTTCCAGAAGCCCGCTCAGATTGTCAAAGAGACGCAAGAGCGACTCGACCTCATCAAAACGTTGTCGAGCCGCCAGAACCACGCATCCTTCTTCTTCGACGGGCGCAGCAAGTCTTGGCGAAAACACTTGGACGACCAGATTGGTGGCCAGGAGACCCTTGCACGCATGTTTTTTGTTGTGTTTGGTCCAAGCATTGGGCGAGCGGATGGTGGTTTGATGACCTTCGAATCTGGCCGACATTCCGAGGATCTAGCTGACGTACCTCGGACGCCCCAACGAGGGCTGCATGCCAACTCGCCGTGTCGCGTTCTCCTCCGTCACGCGTGAGATGTGCTTCATGCTTCACGGGTTCCCGAAAACGACGCTGAACCTGCAGGCAGGGTGTGACGCAGTCGTATTCCACGCATGCCCAAGTGTCAGTACCACGCAATGTGAGAAGAAGGCACACAGCGTTTGTGTTTTGGTGTAACTGTGGAGTTGAGAATCAAGCGAGTTTTCCAAGTCTGCACTGACAGGAGCACGAGCAAGAAGACCTCATGGAGGAATCATCCTTCTACACCTCATTCAGCGGAATGAAGTTCCCCGTCACGCTGCCCAAGATCACGGTTGCGGACAAGAAAGCCATCATGGGTGCTGCAGAGGCACCTGGAGGCTGGCCAGCCGCCAAGGGCTTGCCATTGTTTTGGCAGGAGTCGAAATCTTGCTCCTTTTACAAGTCGCTCTTTCAGACGCTGAAGCCAACTCTCGCCATAGATGCCGAAATCGGATCGGGCCAAGCGGCCCAGGCAGCCCTACAGTTAGGCATCAGTTATGTCGGTATAGCCAAGCACACATCGCACATGAACTTCGTGGCCAATGCGGTTGACAAATCTGCTTTGCGCCACATCGTTGAGACTGGCCACATGCTGTTCAACAAGCAGCTTTCAGAGAGCATCAATGAGATCTTCAAATCCGTGCCCTGGCGTCACACATGCTTCCCACATTCAACTCTTTCCCAGAAAACACACAACCACAGGGCAACATTTGAGCGATCCGCAAGCGCTTGCCCCTTTGTGGATGCCTGCTGTGCTGCAAACCTGTACACATGGGATATGTAAGTGTTTAGAATGCGTCGGTTTTGCAAATCGGCCCGAAAACTTGACTTGCCCTAAGGGCAGTTGGCCATGAGAGTGGTTACAGTCCATTCAAGTATACCAAACAGCCTGCCTAACTTTGTGTTCGCGCTTGGCTTTTGCACGTGCGCGTGCCTGGGCGTGCAACAGGGACTACGATCACCCGTAACTGAAGAAACAAGACTCCCCTACAATGACCGTAAGGAGCTGGAAGAGAGTGGCACCGAAGAGCCCATCACTTTGGAGGGTGAGGCGCCTTGGGAGGAAGTTGCTGCGCAGGACAAGTGAGAGCAGACGCAACAAAGCGTACTAGGCTTTGAAGTTTTGAGGTTGGGCCACAGTATGGGAAACAGGGTGCATGAAGAGAGTTGGTGAGCAGATTCCGTGTTCGATGCATTTGTTTTTTTGTATTGTTTGCCAGCGTGGTCAGATTTGCGTTGCCTACGACGCACCTCTGCATGCGTGCGTCATGCTTTTGAGCCAACAAAGCGCGCAGAGAAAAAACCAGCTTGGTTGACAGTTCACGCGGAATGATGGCTGGCTTGCGTTGTCCGCTCCGACTGAGGCCGGAACGTCAACTACTCACCAGGCCAGTGATGGTGCATTGGCCCTGCTGAACGGACGAGGGAAAGCCGTTGTCTAGACTGGTCAGCGTGAGGGTGCCGTATGCTCGCTTGGTGCATTTGATTGCCAAGGTGTATTTTTTGTGGGTTTTGCTTTCTTTCTTTGAGGTTGCCCGGCTTGCTAGCGGGCTTCTTTTTTTCTAGTGCTGCCACATGTTCCCAGCAGTTGTTGCATGTCTTTGTAGGTTGAGCCGGCCGAAGCTCGCAGCCCTTTCAGTATGTGTCATACACAGTTCAGTTTGAAGGTGACATGACAGCAGTTAGAAGACTCGTGTTGTGCGAATGACTACCCATTGCATTTTGTGCCAGGAGTCAGTAACTAGGGCTAATGCTCAAGCCTTCTTTGCAAGATGGGCAAGCTGGACGCTTTGTACGGTGGGTGCGGGGAACGGGCTGCGACCCGCTTTGATCGCGGGGTCAAGCGGGCACGCAGCCCACCTACCGTTTCGAGGGCAAAGCCTAGCTTTTCGGGGAAGACAAAGAAGAAGCAGCGACCTATTACGAGTTTTTTGTCTCGCTGGCAAAAGTTTGGTGAGAAGTGGAAGCGCGAGCGGCTTGGTCGCGATTGCTTTAGCGGTTGTTCTAGACAGCTTGCGGTGTACTCCGCCTCAAACACAACGACTCGTACAAATGTTGTTGCTTGGGCATGTTGAGGGCAGGTTCATGTTGACCCTTACCCTTACCCGCACCCCGGTCTGGATTTGACAAGCCATTAGTTTGTGTGTTGCTAAGTCGAGTATCACATTTGCAGGGCCGAAGAAGTAAAGAAGCAGGCATCAAGCAAGCAAGGAAGCAGGCAAGGAAGCAGGAAGGAAGGAAGCAAGCTGGCAAGTGAGCAGCAAAACAAGCATACTAATACGACGCACGGTTAGCAGCGGCACAGCAAGCAAGGCAGGCAAGCAGCTCACGAGGAACCGAGGCAAGCCTGCTAGCAGGCCAGCAAGCCAGAGAGGAAAACTAATTAGGAAGCAAAGGAGCCGGCCCAAGTTCTGTGTTCCAGCAAGGATCGTAGTGGCCTGACGCAGCCTGAAACCACCTTGTCAGAAACGCACAATGTTTGAGCACCGCAAACAAAGCAGCCAAATAACCTACCGTAGAGGCAGCTAGGCTAGCAGCAGGGAAGGAGGCAAGCTGGTGTGGACAAGCCAGCAGACTGAGCCAGGGCGCGCAGCTGCTCACAACCCAGCAAGCAGACAAAGATACGCACACACGCAAACCATATCAGCCACCTGACTGTCTCAGGTGTGGCTTCAGCGCAGTGCACATGGATGGCAAGCCAGTCAAGGTTACATGGCTAGCCTATCAGAAGAACAAGGGTGTGGGCTGCACAGTGTGCGCCAATCTTTGTCACCAGGCTAGTCAGGTGGTGCGCGCCGAGAGCAAATCTCGCCTGGCCGCCTTCAACACAAAGTTTGCAAGGTTTGAGATCACATCCAAGGATTCCATGCAAGCCTCAGTCTTCAGGCTGCATGCCAGCAGTCGAATCCATGCCCGGGCTTTGGTGGCATATGCGGAGCCTCAGAGGCCAGTTTTTGAGCTCCTTCCGGAAGACTTGGCAGGGTTTGACAAGCAAGCCCATCTCCTGAAAGGAGCAGTGCCAGCATTGGAAGACTACCTGTACACCTGGCGGTGCATGAAGAGCATGCTTAGCTTTGAGGGAGCCAGCAAAGTCCGACACACACTGAAGTTTCTCAACCCAATGGGTCACCGAGCTGCTGGGGGAGAGGACATGCATGCTAAGAGCGTGAAGAAGATTGCGCTTGTCATGGAAGAAGCCTTGCGAGAAGAAACGCGGAGCATTCTCATGAGAGCAAGTTCCTGGAGCATGAGCTTTGACGACAAAGCTGAGTGGCGCTTGTACAACTTTGACGCCAGCCTTGTGGAAGCTGACCCCACCACGGGCAAGACGCGAGCAATTCGGAAGCAAGGCGTGCTCGGAGTGCAGAACCTGTTTCCAGAAGAGCGGCAGCAGTGGTCCGAGTGTGACAAGGACTATGCCACCAAGGTCGCCGATGGCTGTCAGAGAGTCTTGCGTGAGGTCTGCGGAGAAGACCACATTTTTGAGATGGTGTCAAAGTCATTGACGGGTCTCATGGCTGATGGAGCCCCTGCCATGCAGCGAGGCTTGCGCTATTTGCAAGCCGTTTTCCCCAATGTTTGCCTGATAGGCAGAGATACGGCGCATATCATACGCAAGACTGCATGCGAGGCTTGGGTCCGCGAGCTGAACTTTGAGGATCTGTGGAAAGACTTGTGGTCCTCCAAAGAG